GGCAAAGGCACCAAGGGTGCGGCCTCCCCGGAACCGGGCTCGCCGCACATATCAATGCCGGCGTTGTGGCACGTACATAGCGCCAACGAGGCATGGGTTCAAGAACCATCGTCGCTCCGCCGCATGCCTCGCCTACCGTCAGTGGCACGACGGGCGGCGTCCCTGGAGCAGGATCTCCGCCGCGAGATCGAGAAGGAGGCGAGAAGAAGAAGCCAGCCCCGCCTCCACCGATCATCGATCTCCGCCCTCTGGCCAAGCGTGACCCGCGGGATCCACCCCCAGGCGGATCGGAGGCGGATCGGGATCGCGGGGCGGTGGCGGATTGGACAAGGCGGCGGTGCTGACCAGCCTCTGGGAGTCGACACTCCGAGCTGTGCTGTGAGGCAGCACTCCGGAGCAAGCACCCTGCAGCCCCTTGAGCTCCCCGCCTAGTCTTGATGGGTTGTAGCTCAGGGCTGCTGTAGAGTAGCCGAGCCGGCCTGTAGCTCCCTGCGAAGCCCTGCATCTGCAATCGCCTCAAAGAGCCCTAACATAAACCCTAAACCTGAAACCCATATATATATATATATAGACACTAAACCCTAAACCCAAGGAAAAATTCAGATGCAGGGTGACTCCAGGTCGTAGCTGACTTCGCAGGGCCTCGACAGGAAGATCTGCTAAGCCAAACAGGAAGCACCCCCGGAAACACTCAACCCTAAACCCTAAACCCTAAACCCCGGAAGCCCTCGGCCCCAGTACAAACCCAGGACCCGGCATGAAGAAATAAAGATAAGATCATAGAGGAAGCCCCATGGTTGAGTGCTTTAGGTTTTTTTCTAAAGCTGAGTGCTTCTAAAACTCTCGCCCGGATCTGTCGAAGCCCAGTCTTAAGTCGTAGAGTGGCCAGACGGCGAAGCGGAGCACTGCGAGCTGGAACTCAGAGAAGAAAAGGGTGGAGCTTTTTTTTCGACAGGGATTCTGTAACTATACAAACATGTGCAAGCAGGTTGGTGTAGCCGTGATGTTTCAAGACAGTGCCCTCTAGTATAGAGTCCATTTTGGGAAGCAGCTGCAGACCTTGGGCCTCGGCATCGGCAAGGCCATATATATATATATATATATATAGACATGTCTACTCTCTCTCTCTCTCTCTCTCTCTCTCTCTATATATATATATATATATACATATACATCGCGAAAGCCGCAGAATCCCCAACCGTGTGGCACAGGTTGGGCTCGGCAGAGATGGCGAAGCAATGCTTTTCTCGCGGTGAGCTTTGTGCACTGCAGCAGTCTCTGCTGCAGAGTTCGCTTCCCCCTCCTGGGGATTGGCTGGACTTTGAGGCGGAGGCGGTGCGAGAAGCACTCTACTGGGCGATGAAGAGTGCTGATGAGAATCGCGACAAGTCCGCTCGCGTCATAGCAGCACTGTGTCTCTTAAGATTCCAGTGGGAGGACCTTCTTAAGGAAACCGGAGCGGATCATGGCCAAATGTACAACGGATACAGCTATGTGCCGGCAGAGCCTGAGTATCCGCTGCTCACAGAGCAGGAGCGGGTCAGGGCGCTCACGGCGGAGTGGAGCCACAGCCGAGTCGACCAGCAGGTTCGCGAGTTGCGACATGCTCTGAGAATTATCCCCGCTTATTTCGGTTCCAACTTGAACCGAGAGTGGGAGAGCTACTTCGAAGCTGCTACGGAGCAGCTTCAGATCACGATGATGCTGCTGGAAATCGTGCACAACAGAGACTATAGACTGCTTGAAGGCCTCGAAATGGAGGAGAAGAGTTAGTGCTCCTGCTAGCTCTCCGGAGAGACTCCTTCTGCTGATCTTGGCCTTGCAAAACGTCCGGCCGGAGGCGTAGGTGATCGTAGGTGTTTGTAGGTGGTCACTCTGGGCCACCTGGCTAAGCAGGTGGCGTAGGTGGCGTAGGTGGTCTTATTCCCTTACCTTTCCATGGATCTGGAGGCGTAGGTGGTGTAGGTGGCCTGCTTTTCCTTACTTCTCAGGTCGGGCCAGGCGTAGGTGGTGTAGGTGGCGACCCTGGCTTTAGGCCTTCAACATGGGGGCCTGGCGTAGGTGATTGTAGGTGGTACTCTGCGGCTAAGCTGCCGGCAGGAGCTTTTCTGGAATCGCTGCTGTCTGTTTCTTTGTGGATTTAGGAAGCAGAAGTAGATCTGCAGACTCGTGATTTCTTGGCCTCCGCAGCTACCTACTTTCAGCTTCTAGTTTGCCCCTCTCCTCCTAGCTTGCCCAGACCGCAGCCATGGTTGCCACCTTCGAGGACGCTCAAGGCGAAAGCCTCGAAAGCCAGACCCAGCCCTTGCAGGACACGGCAGCGGAGCCGCAAGCTTGTGTACTCTGCCAGAAGACCTTCGCGGCCCAAGACCTGACCGGGCGGTGGACAAGCAAGAAGTGCAAGACCTGTGCCGCTCTGGAGATGAAGTTGTGGCGGCAGCTCGGGTCCTTCGAGCCATGGAAGAATACCACCGCGGCAGAGAAGGCGGAGTTCTACAAGGGCTCAGGCGACTACAAAGACTGGCCGACGCTCGAAGCTCGTCTCACGGACGTCCTCACGTCCCGTGCCGTTCGCTTCCAGAAGGAGTGTGAGAAAGGTGAGTACTTGCCGGCTACGGTGTACTTGGCGAAGGGCTTTACCCAAGAGCACATCGACAGTTGCGATGATCGCCGCGAGCATCCCCACCTCGGCGAGACTATCAGAATCCCGATTCAGTCTCGCAGCACCGGCGAGATCAGGGAGTCGATTCAGGAGGAGATCAACAAGAGGGTCAAGGACGTTCGCAAGAAGAAGGGGGACCCGACCACTAAAGACTGGGACCTACCGTCGCACACCTCCAAGGAGAGTCAGACAGCAAAAGCGGAGACAGCCGCCAAGAAAGCGGCGGTGAAGGCGAAGAAGCAAGCTGTAGCCGTGGCACAGTCCTCCTTGGCCTCGGTAACCTCACTGTGGTGCTCCGTCAGCACCTGGGAAGGGAAGGAGACCGACCCGGAGCTGCTCGCCAAGCTGAAGGACCAGAAATGCAAGCTGGGCACGTGGAAGCTTTCGGCCGAGCAGGTCCTCGCGAAGAAGGACACCGAGGAGGTTGTCCCCCTTGCCTTTTCCAAGAGCGACCTGAAGACCTTGAGCAAGGAAGTCCAGGACGTGCTGGGGGACTGCAAGCAGGCCCAGAAGGAGAAGAGCAGGTTGAAAAAGGCCGCGAAGGAAGCGAAGCCGGCAGCGACGGAGGCAGAGAACCCGCCTGCCCTAAAGAGACGCAGGGTCAACAAGGGCAGCTGAGCCGTCACCGAAGTAGGAGGTTTCACGTGATCCTCCGCCCAGGTAGCATTAATCATCGCATGCAGGCATGCATCTTGCAAGGCCATAGTTTTTTAGCAGCAGGTAGTTTTTTCTTCTAGCTTTCTATAATTCGATGCAATCTAATTCAAAACAACGAGAACCGATGCAGACCGCTCAGGACGAAACAAGCATGGAGTTGCGAAGACCATGGTCAGAAGCGTCGTTGTGCACAGCTTCACTCTTTCTGCAGCCAGTTCTGCTCCAGACCCTGTGTAGCCTCGCCCCTGCAGTGCCTTGTACAGTATGCGGCAGCGTCAGGCTTGTCTGTACAACGCATAATATAATATCTCTCCAGAATATATTCTTGTTCGAACTGGCAGGCGAGCCCCGACACCACGAGGCGTTCGTTGAGAGAACGTTCGCGGTCCCCCAGGGCGACGTTCGAATGGCGCTGGTGCTGGAAGAAAAGCATCGACCTGGGCGGTGCCGTCGTGTGGTGGTGGAAGTGGTTCAAGTATCCATTGGCCCGGGACCACACTTCGGCAGAAGCCAGCGAGCCGGCCGCGGCATCGTCGCGGGGCACGAAGCGGAGGTGCGAGAGGTCTGAGTCGGAGGACTCCGAGCAGTAGCTGCCAGTTTTTGCAATTGCTGTGCATTCGCGGCATGTCGCATGTCACAGCAGATGCACTGTATAGAGAGTCTGCTCAAATCGAATTTGCTTTCGCCACTGCCGTGGGACTGCATGCCCGTGAAAAGCGTGAGCCCTTCACAGCTGGAAGTAGTGCAAGCTTCGGCCTTCTTCTAATAAGCAGCCCGATACAGATCCCCGTCAGGGCTATATGCGGCCGTATTAGTTGGAAGCTGTGAGCTGGAGGGCAGTAGTGCTTGCCCTGTGTCTGCACGGCATCATGTCTATACTTTCTTGACAGGGAACCTATATATGTGGCTGCGTTGGTTCAAATACATGCAGGGAAATCCTTTAGGGCAGACCGCATCCCTCCCCGTACTGTCCGCGGCTGAAGGCCATGTCGAAGCAAGCTCGTGCGGTGCTCCAGGACGAAGGTCGTGCGGTGGACCTCTACTTCGGGAAAAACAAGGTAGGGTTCCATGGAGATTTCTATCTACACCCGAAACCCTACTAGCTTGCTGCATGAATATAAGATCTCCATGCCCAGATGAGAATGATGACACTGAAGCATGCTTTCGCTTTGTCTGCGAATGCAACAGTCTGCGAGCACGTCGCCCTGCACGGTTGGGTTCACAAGGGCCTAGAGCCTGACGGACGTTTCCTGGACGCTGAAGCCCTGGTCCAAGGCAGAGTCGTGCAGTTGAGGAACTGCAAGCGAAGCCGCCACTGCAGCCCCAAGTCGCGGAAGACTCGCAGGCTCGGTGACAGCAGCTCCCCTGCAGACTCCAAGCAGCCCTCGGACACACCAGGGAAACTTTTGCGGAAGGAAGAGATGGCCATGCTAACACAGCGAAGTGTCAGCGACCAGCTCAACTGAGTTAGTACTTGTGTACAGAGCAAACGTGGTTTGACCCACGATCGATCGCAATAGCAGAGGAAAAAAAAAGCTTTGCTGCTCTTTGCAAGCGTTCCACATCACGATGTATATAATAATAAGAATAATAATAACTTGACCGCGTCTGAATGCTGCATACTTGCCTCCGGAGAACCAACTCAGCTCAAGAGGATGTAGCGTCCTGTTGCCTGCCGCCCATGGAAACCTCGAGGAAACGGAAGCGAGACGAGCTGCTTTGTCTTCCGAGCAGGTCTGAGTTCATTGAGCGGCTGCAGAGTATACGTGGGCTTACCGATGCCCACATCGAGAAAATTACAGCTGGCCTGGGCATGCCTGCAATCAAGCACGACACCGGCCTGAAGTATGAGAGAGAACAAGGATGCCTTCGGGACCTTCTGCTACCAGCAGCGAAGGGAGACCCGATAAGGATCCCTGTCATGAGCCTAGCTGCGTCATTGACTGAGAAGTGCCAGGCGAACAAAGCATTCGCAGACATTTTGTCTGCGGCTGTAAAAACGGCACCTGACGGCACCCTGGATGCCCTGGTGTATGTCGACGAAGCCGTCCCAGGCAACATTGTCCAACCAGACAACCGCAGAAAAGCGTACCTCATGTACATTAGCTTCCTGCAGTTGGCCACGACGTTGCAGGCAGAGTACTCATGGACGACGGTGGGGTGCGTCAGGCATTCTCTAGTAAATGCAGCAGCTGGAGGCTTGGCCGGCGTCATGTGCGAATTCGTTGGCCGCCTGCAAGAGGAGCTCCAGGGTTTCGCAATCCAGGACAGCACGGGCTCGCCCGTTTTGGTGCGAGCCCAGAAGTTTTGGCTGCTCGCAGATGAAGCTGCTTTGAGAGGGACCATGGCGGCTAAAGGTTCTTCCGGGGTGCGGCCCTGCATAAAGTGCAGGAATGCTTGCAACGTCGGCTACAGCATCGACTCCTTGCATCCGATAACAGAGCCAGATTTTGGGGTATTTCGCCGCTTGCATGTCGAAAAATTAAAGGAATACCTGCAACACCTGAGGCAGCTTCCCAACCAAGCCCAGCTGGAGCGAGCCCAAACCCTGCTTGGCTGGCGATATGTGCCGCAGAGTCTCCCCTGCCGGCAACCCGACTTGATCCCTCCGCAGCGGGTTCTCTACGACGGGCAACATTGCTTCTATGTGAACGGTATAGTGAACGTGGAGCTGGGACTCTTCCTGGATGCAGCGCTAGAAGCGGGTGCTCTTAAGAAAACAGCAGAGCTGGCGGATGCCTTGGCAAAACATGCTTGGCAGGGTCAAGGTATGAGGGTGGCGCGACTGCTCAGTTCCAAACTCTTGCAATCCGGTGGGGAATATCGCGGCAAGGCCTCCGAAACAATGTCGGTCTTGCCTTTGGTCGTTTTCTTTGCCGAGAGAGTGCTGGCTCCTTGCGAGTTGCTGAGGGACAACGTTCGATCACTGCAGCTACTCTGCCGAATTTCTAATTATGTGCGTTTCCTGAAGCAGTCCCGGGACAAAGCGGCGGCCCGGGACATGCTCCAGCTGCAAAAGAAGCACCTTGAACTTTACGAGAAGTGCTACGGGACGGACAAAGTGAAACCGAAGCACCACTATGCGATGCACATACCTTCCCAACTTGAGGAAAGCCATGTTCTGGCTGATTGCTTCCCCACTGAGAGGCGAAACAATCTCTTCAAGCAGGATGTGGCACCCAGAATGAAGAAACTAACAGGTTTCGAACAAGCTGCCTTGCTGCGACTTGCAAGGACGGATGCCCAAATGCAAACGTCCTTCAGTTTGCAGCCAGCCTTGGAGAACCCAAGACCTGATGCAGCTCTGGCACTGCAGCTTGGCGTGGCCAAGGCCCTTTGCTCCAGGCGCCTGTTGTGCAGCAGCGGTGCTATTGAAGCAAAAAAGACCGTGTACATCTTGGCTCCCACCCTGGCGGTCAATGTGAGATGCTGGGTCCAGCTCAACAATGACTGTTTCGGGCTTTGCCATAAGATGCACACGGTAAATGATTCCATTTCGCGGCTTGCTCAATGCAACAGTGTGTGGACAACGACGGAAGAGAACGTGTTAGTACCCTGCAAGTTCATCTTGCATACCTGTCGCGTGTCTTGGTCCCTTCAAGAAGGGGCCAAAGTCACTTTGTTGCATTAATTATACAGACATTATACTCGCAAAGTCTGGCAAATGCCGAAAAAAAGGTGCGATTCAGCAAAAGTATGGTTTTTGAGACTGCAAAAAGTTATTACGACTTATTCGGACCTGCAAGATAACTCAACATAACTCAACATAACTCAACATAACTCCGGGGCTACTTAGGTAGTTCCTGAAAAGTTGTTCATACAACTCCCTGTGTTCTCGGATAGTTGCCTGGGGCACCTTTGAACTTCACCGCCGAACGCAGCGTTGCTCACACATGCTCAAATTTGCCATGGTCTTCGCATTGAGAAGAGAGCAACTGCCAAAACACCTGTGCTGGAGTTTTGCATTCGCAACTCAGAGTTTGCGGCCAGTCTACTTTCAAGGTTTTGACTGTTCATGCATGATGCAACCGCGGCTCTCAGCTCAATGACTCAAGGACCGCCAATCCTGCCCGTGCATCAAAAAACGAAGATACTCCCGCAAGCAGCTTCAGACCCGAACCGCGGAACCCCATCGGCACATATGTCATGCAGCAAGAACATCGAGCAATCATCCCGTTCGTTCGAACGCGAGATACATGCCAACCGTCCTCACACAAAAAGCTTCTCCCGTTGGTTATGTTGAGCATTTTCCGGCTCCCGATGTTTGCCTCGCTGAGTCCAGAGCCTCTGTCTGCGCAGATCATGCGAACAAGATACACAGATCACAGGAGAGCACGACGCCGACACCGAATCTAATCAGCGTGGCACAATTGATTTGGTGTCTCGAATGCAACACAGGCGTTGGGTTCATGCACTCGACAAGCACTTGTATCACAATGTGTTGAACCTGATGGCCATGCTGTCGAGGTACGCGCCTATTCTGAAAATCGTGTATTGCATGCACGAGGTCGTTCTGCATTACGTTTCGGCCTGCAGCGGACTAAGGATGCCTAGCACAGTGTTGTACGAGGGAATGCAGGACAAGCAGGGAGACATGCACATGCGGTTTGGTCTTGCTTGATGGTTGAAGGTTTCACAACTCGGGATCAGATGCTACTTTGGATTTGCTATTTCAAAACAACAGCTTCGCACAGCTTGCTCTTCGCCCGCGACGGAATGGACCGAATCACATCAGCACACCCAAACCTTGCAAACCCACGGCCGATCTCTAAGTGATGACCTCCGTGCTTTCAGGCTTTCAGGGCTCATCATCTTGACCCCCTGGAAGGAAAGATAGCCGCCCTTGTGGCTCTAGAAAGTCCGATATAAGGCCGAAAACAAACATCTGAATCGCCTCATCAATTTACTAGGCGAAAGCCGACAACATTGGAATAGGGCTTTAGGGGCTCAGCATCTCTGTCCCTGCACTGCACGGGGGGAAGGGGCGAGGCGATGTCAACTTTATGCTGATGTTGTTTGGGCACTGGCTTTGTATTGGCTCTCTGTGGCGGTAGGAATGGAGATCGTCGTTGCACGGAGACGTCTCTTAAGATGGCAGAACCGACCGAAGCAACCAGGCAGGCAGGCATGCAGGTAGGGAAGCAACCAGGCAGGCAGGCAGGCAGGACTCACTCCCTCGCTCACCCACCCCCAGCCACGCACATACAGAGACACACACACACACACGCATGTGCGCGCGCACACACACACACACACCCACACCCACACCCACACCCACTCCCACACCCACACCCACACCCACACCCACACACCCACACCCACACCCACACACACACACACACACACACACACACACACACACACAACACACACACACACACACACACACACACACACACACACACACACACACACCCACTCACGCACACGAACGCACGCCCACGCACCACAGAGACAGAGACAGACACGGACACCCATCCCGGTGGAAGGACAGCCGGAGACAGAGAGAGCTTGGGAAGGGAGCTGCTTCTTGAAGCTTGTTCATACATTTATGTGCTTCTACATGTGTCGTGACAAGTAGAGTGGCCATGAGTTGCATAACAGCGCAAGCAAACCCCAAGCGCCACAGCCCGAATCCGAAACTCCAAACCCGAAGCCTGAAACCCGAAACCCTAACTTTCCCCTATAAGGCTCCATGTACCCCAAGAATATGTACTTTAGGCCCGATGTACCTATATAAGGAGTACATTGAGGCCAAGGTATATACTATCGGGGTACATGGACCCAGAGGGTTCAACTTCGATGCTGGGAGCGGAGCTCATTGAGGAGTTCGTTGCACTTTTGCCACTTCGCCCACCTGGCTGGGTGAGGTTTGGGCTTCGGGACAATAGTCGCAGGTTGTTGGGTTCATGGTCTAGTAGGTGCTTAAAGCTTCGGATGTCGTGGCTCATGATTTTAGGTCAAGGGGTAGTCATCGGTTCAGGGCTGCAGGTTAAGGGCTGGGTTGCTGCAGTTCGGAGATTTTCATCCAGGCAGCTGTGTAGTATGTAGCATAGCCTTTAGAAGCCGCGCATTGGGGGGTTCGGGTGGAGTGTCACGAACCCAGCATAACCATTTGCAACCCATCAACCCCCTAGTTCCGAAACATTAAAGCAAAAAACAAAACCGAATTTTGCACCCCACAAACCCACTCTAAATCTCAAGAGTTACCACCAGAGCAGCCCTCAAATCCAATGTAAGTATGCACACTGCCGTCAATTGGGTTTAGACGGGTTTTAGTACAAACACCTGACCCACCCCCCGTGCTGGCCTTCCTTTCTTTTGCTCTGTGGCACGCATCATGCCCATCATGCCGCCCCTGCGCTCAGGGTCGCTACCTCAACCCCCGAATCCATCAACCAAAATGCCTTTAGCCGCGAAACCATAAGGTCTAGGCCTCCAGCCCCAATGGCCTACACTGACCCCCACTCCCTCAATCGGCCCCTAAACCCCAAACCCCTAATCCTGGAATTGCCGGATCTCTGGCTCCGGGCTGCAAGGGGGGGAACTCAGGTTGCAGAATCATGGAAGTAATATAGGGGCCTTAATAATGAGAACATGGTTGTGGAGCTCAATAATTATACCGTAATTGTAAGGAACTCCCAAAATTCGTTTTGGTAATTATTAAAGCTTCTATATTATGCGCCCTTGACAGCGATGCTGACATCATGAGGTCCTCTGCCAGATGAAAACGGCCACGGTTGATTGAACAAATTAGCGACGCAATTTTACAGCCAATACTAGCAAGGCTTGTCTTCGTGCAATCAACGCTTCTAGTCTCACCATCATTCAGGAACATGAAACATGTTTCTATGTTCGCAACAAACATGCCAAACACGATACTCGTTGAACATATTGTGGTTTCTAGCCGCTTCAATGCAACCCACGTATCGTCCTGGAGAGCCTGCATCAAAAGCCCTATGCAGCCCTTCACCAACGGAGCTTGTCCTGGAGTTTATTGGGGGTTTCCAACAAATAGGGGACCCCAATTAATACGGTAACCTCAATGGCAGGATCCTCATTATAAGGACACCAAAATCAGATACCCCTTAGTTTCGGAAACTCCCTTATGATACGTACCGCACTCACTTTGTCAAAACCCAGGACTGAGGCATGGTCTACCAGGCAACCCGTAACTGTAAAGGTTTACGGTTTAGGGTTGAATGTTTAAGGTTATACGGTGTGAACTTTACTACATGGATGCAAATTCCGCAAATGCGCACGCAACCACAAAACTTCAGGTGTGCATGAGGGTTTAACGGTACTGGGGCATGCGCCTTCCTTCGGTTTTGGAATTTCCAAGGGCCTTTAGTCACTGAGTCACCGAGTGCCCCAAACGATAGCGCACGTACTTTTGCAAATTAGGCTTTAGGGTGTCGGGTTTTGGCTTCCCTGGTTCGTGTCCCACTTCAAAAAATCTGTTGAGCCCTTACACCACGTCAAGAGCCATGAACCGCAGATCATGAACAATGAACCCTGGGCCTCACACCCTGATCCCTAAACCCCTAAAGGATCCCTTAAAGGATTCCCCTGAAGGAGCCCTTACAGAGCCCCTCCTAAGCAAACCCTCCCCCCCACCCTAATCCCTAAACCCCAAACCGCAATCCCTGAACTCTATGATCCCCAAACCTGAAACCCTAAACCCTAAACCCCACCCCTGCATCCAGTGGCTCTTGCCTGTCGCTGAACTGAGCGTCAGGGATCTCCTGCAAGCCGGAGAGTCATCTGGGGGGCCTTAATCATTAGAATAGGGTTCCTTGAAAGGGGGCCTATCAGGGCTACTATAAGGGATCTATATTAAGGGTGTTATAATGTGGGGGCCTTAATAATTATAGGGCTTTAGGGGGGATACTATACCATAGCTATAATCAGGACCCCCCCGAAAAATTACATGAGCACGATCCCTGCCTTGGGTCTGCAAAGAATCAAGCTGCTTGTGTCTGGGTTTGGTGGGTCAGCTTGCACGGGGATAAGCGTCTCAGGAAAACGGTTGAGGGATCTTCGTAGTTTGGCTCGAGGGTAGAAATTCGAGAGCACACCAGTAAGACTTACGGCCCAGGGGATAGGGCTTAGGATTCAGGGCTTAAGACTTAAAGGACAGATAAAGGGCTGAACAGTCAAGAGGCCACAACCAGGTGAGGACGACAACATCTGCTCTTCGTGGTGGAAATATTTGTTCGGAGCGATTGAAAGGTTGCCCAAAGCAAAGCATGAAGTCACCGCATAAGAAACCTATCAGGGTCAATACAGGGTCGTTTGTCTCACTGCCTGCTAGCAACCTTCCTAAACCGCAAACCCAAAGAGCCTGAACTTCCTGAACGGAGTATCTAAAGGCCCGGGCATATGTATGTATATATGTATGTATGTATATGTATGTATGTCTATATACATATACATATACATACATATGTATATTTATATATATATATATATATATATATATATATACAAATACAGAGAGGGAGAGCTCTGAATGTATGTATGTATGTATGTCTGCATGTATGTAGGTGCGGAGGTAGGAAGGCATGTGTATGCATATGCGCATTTATAAATATGTTGCGCATATTTATGTACTTGTTTTACACATACGGT